TGTAGATGTTTGCCTTTTGTGTATGCATATATTTTATATACCTTATAAATGTATGTGTGTGTACACGTAGAAACAGATATGTGTATAACTATACTGCTTTTTTATGCATATATATATATATATATACACGGATATATACATATACATACATATTCATGCATATACTGTCGCGCATACGTGTGCGCATGTGCGAGTTGATTGGTCATTGGCACGCGACGGCACGATCGACCGCATGTGTGCGGCCATTGCGGCTTGTAAGTTCCCGTAGATATGTGCGATCTCTGCTTCTGCGGGGTTCTTTCCAAGTAGGGATAATGAGTGACAGGTACGAGAGATTGGCGAGTTTTTTTCTGGACGAGTCAAAGACAGACCCGCCGCCAACTAGTGAGCCGGAGCCCTTGTCTGAGCCAGCAGGAAAGTTGGACAGCATGATCGGAATGTGCTGGACATTGGTAGGCTTCATGATGTCATGCAGAACTTGAATGAAAGCACGGGCCGGCATTTTGATCTTCGTTTGGCCAAAAGTAAGCTAGCTGCGGTTGTGCTCCAGCACTGTGTTGCGCTGGTCTTTCGACCCAGGGTGCAAGGTTTAAGATTGGCATCACCACGGATCCTTGGCACAGGTGGTTCAATCCTTCTTATGGGTATGGAACAGAAGGCAAATATGTGCGTATGCTTCTCATAGCGATCGTGAAAACCATGGAAGCAGCTACTTATATCGAAGCTGCGTTGATCAGAGAGTTCAGAAGTCATCAGTTGTGCGACAACGAAGCTCCGGGTGGTGAGGGTGCAATGCTGGATGCGTCGCCAGGGTTTGTGTATGTGGTGTGTTCGGATTTCGGCTTAGGCAGGGAGCAGGTGCACGGGGCAGCTGCATCTTCAGCGAAACCATAGGAGACAACTCCTCCTTGCACATATTATGCTTTCAATTTCTAATAAGCATTATTTAGGGTTGTTCTGCTCCTACGTGCGAGGCTGCGGTTCGTGCATGCATGAGGGTCTTAATTATGGTCCGGTGCCGGTTTGTACTTGTTTCCCTGAGCTGCTTGCTTGCTTCAGCAGTTTTCCTGTCTGTGTCTGTGTGCCATGGCGGGGCCAACAAAAGTGGCCAGCGGTCTGGCGATTTCTGGGTATGACACGAAATTCGTGGATGCTTGGAAAGAGCTCGGGCCGACGCAGGAGATTGCCGTTAATTTTGTCCCTTCCTGCGACTTGCAGTACATGTGCGCGATCCGAGTTCAATGCTGTGGCTGGTTTCCATGATGTAGGACCTTTTTTTGGTGGTTGATATCGGAGATATCAATCATGATGTGGTCGACAGCTTGGACGCCGAGAAGTGAAACAAGTTGTTGAAAGACAACTATGATCTGGTGGAAGCGTGGCCCAGCTTGTTTGAAAGGCATTTAACATGCATGCCTTGAGCATGTTGGTGCGTGGTTTGAGTTTTGTTTGCTGTCATTGCTGTGACGATGGGTCTCGGGCTGCCATCAAATAGTAAGGACGTTGAACGTGTACAACAAGGCCGAACGACAGTTCTCGGGGGATGAGTTGGACTTTTGCATCTGCAAGAAATATGGAGTCACTAGGCGACCTTACATATACTGCTGGTGTGTGCACTTCTTTCAACCATGATTTACAATTGTTGTGCAATCCTGCTTTGTCTCAGGAAGGAGTGGACAAGGAGTTGTCGCACCAGCAGGCCGCGACTCTGAAGGGCTTGGCTGCTGAGCTGCAGATTCCATTTCAATATAATGCATGATGGTCTCTCGGCTTAGCTGATTTGTGCTACGATCCTATATAGCAGCAGCGAGGCGGGCCATGTGATCAGGGAGGCGAAGAAATCCCGGAAAGCTCGGACAGGATGGATGGGGCAGCTGAAGGCAGCCAAGCCGCATGCGTAGCAGGCTATTGATAGAGTCACCTGTTTGTATTTTCGCCATAGGCGATCCCGTGCGACAAGCTTGTGGAGAGAAAGTCGACCGGCGGGAAGAAGAATAAGAGCGGCACCGATGGCGCCGATGGGGCGTTGGGACCCGGGGATGAAGGACATATAATATAATGTTCATTTACATCACTCATCTGTGCAGTTTCTCTCTCTTTCCCTCTCTCTTTCTCTTGCAAACTCAAGCCCGCTATGCCTTCATTCTGGTCGCAGGATCTGCTGCCAGGCATGTTGAGAATCCTGACGAGATGGAAACATTACCCGTGATGTGGCCGCCAGGACTGCCGATGCCCACAATTACAGCGCCTCCATGCTTGCAAGCGGTTTCGTCTGAGCTTGCAGTAATGGCGCCTACGTGTCATTTTGATCCACGAAATCAACACAAAGCCAGATTCAAGAGTTTGCTTGAGCAGAAGAAGAACCAAAACAGTGGTAGTGCCCCAGCTATAATTTGGTAGACGAATTTATTAGATGCTTTGTTTTCCACGGAAACAAGAATACAATAACTTCCGTGCCTTCTCGTATACGTAAATAGACAACATAAGACCGGAATGTATATCTCACGTACTCGTGCTGAGCAGGACCTGATGATGCTGCTGATGGTGCAGAAGCCCAATCGAATGGTGAGCCCGGGGCGGTTGATGCTGCAGCAGTCGCTGATGCTGGCGAACCAGGCCGTTCTGATGGGCCAGTGTTGTTGTGGATTCCCCGTATGGCATTACTCACTTATACAACAGTATGTATTGCAGGTGAGACTAGTTCGAATGAAGCTCTTATGTACATGATGGTGTCCATATATTGTCTTCTTAGTTCATTATCTTTTGCTTCAGTTTCTTCTGCTTGCACTCATTCGGTGTGCCGGTCCGTGCAAAGAAAATAGATCTTGGTGAGATTTTCATTGTCATGAGGTTTGATATAGGACTAATGACTAATGCGTGGTGTGCAGGCGATCAAGCCGATGACGATGAAGAAGATCCAGAGGGCGATGCTGATGCAAAGGCAGATGAGCCGGACGGTGCAGGCCGCCGCTTGAGCGAGTTTCCGTGCTGTTGTGCGGTAGTGTGCGGGCTTCATGATAGAGTAGTTAGAGATTGCTTTATATGTTGCGAAGCAAAGGCGAGCAAGGAGATGGTGATGATGCTGAGGATAAAGCCGCCTGACGTCAAGTCTTGTTTCATAGTTCGTGCAGTGCATGATGTCATGCAATTCGGCAAAAGCGACCCCGAGGATGGGGACGAAGAGTCTGGAGATGCTCCCCAGCAGGGTGCCGAGGAGGCCGTTGACGCCAGACCGTTTTCATTATTCACCTGACATAAGTGTGTATATTGTTCACGCATGAATATCCCGATGAGTGGCAGGAGCAGCAGGGCAAGCAGAAGAAGAAAAAAACGCGAAGCGGAACAACAATGGTCCAATGTGGCTGGCCTACCAAGGGTTCATGAAGCCGGTGTCTCAGTTGGTTCATGCGGTATTCCTCCGCAGCAGTAATACATTCAGATTGTGTAGATGGAACCGAATCTAGAATTTGGTAATAAATATGTGCTGCAGGCTTGCGAAGGAGCAGCACGGCATCGGCCAAACGGTGCCTCAGCTCATATGGCGTCAGCAAAACATGTGCCGCACAAAACAAAATGTATGTGAGATTTGCTCAAAACCCAGCTACTGATAGATTTCTTGCTATATCGACTCAGGACGGCAACCGTCTGTGGAAACAATCGCAAATTCGTGCGACTCTTGGCTCAACATGCGTTTAGGAACTCTAAAGACAGAAGTTGCAAAAAACGGGTTGATGAAATCGGGCGTTTGGATCCAGGCTTTGGGCCAGGGTACCGGTTAACGGGTTTAGGGTTTTATTATATGGGTCCGAGGCATTGCAGTGTATAGGATGATACGTAAAATGTGTTTTATGCACATATACTGTACATTGTACATAGTGAATAAGGTTACATCTTACGATTTACTAGGTAGTGACTTGAAAAGGATGGATTGATGGATGGATCTATCGATAGGTTCGATCAGATAGACATAGCGCCATCCGAGAAAGACCACTTAAGTTGTCAGCGGGTTATCTATGTCTTCAAGGAAGAGTTGGGTCCATGGTTTACATTCTAGGGCTGTGCTGGTAGTGATGTCGGGAACATGTGGCAGAATAGCAAGGGCTTCATGGGAGTGGGGGGGCGAGGGGCTCGGGGGTCGCTCGTGTTGAGGTCTCTTTACGGTTTCGTGGTTTTCGATCGTGTGTACCCAACATATTGCATGAGTTTCGCCCTTGGCAAATCCTTGCTCACATCGTTGTCGATGTAGATATTCTGCACCCACGACTTTGCTGGCATCACATTAGCTTGACTCTTGCATATGTTCTGTGTCGGCAGGGCCCTGATCGAGCACATGCCGCCGGAGGAGCGCAAAAAAAGGCGATTCGCCTAGCTGCAGATCGGCACCGCGACTATTTCTTTGGATATGTGTCTTGGTCGATGCAAGATCGGGCTGCATCAACGATCGACGCCACGACTATCTTTGGAGATGTGTCTTGGTCGATGCAAGATCGGGCTGCATCAAAGATCGACGACACGACTATCTTTTGGAGATGTGTCTTGGTCGATGGAAATTCGGGCTGCAACAATCGTATGCTTATTCATACGTCATGCAGCATAAGGAGTGTTCAGGACGATCAGGAAACACTCACGTTTGCGGTTGCCGCATGTGACAAAATAGTCGGTTATCTTGCTGCAGAGCTCCATGCATCATACAGTGCACATGTGCCATGCTGAATGCAGCCTCTGTTCGAATCATGATCGAAGGCGTCACGCGGGGCATGCAGGGATCAAGTGCCGCCTGAGTTTCGCCAGAGGTGAGACTTTCTGTGACACACTTCCTGATGGTGTGGATTTTCAAGTCATGCACGGATGCTTTAAGGAAGCTAGCCTCATGCACGAAACCTTGGAACATATTCGAACAGGTTCTGTAGGATGCGGCTGGCTGTGCATGTTTGCACATAAGATGTGTGATGTGCTTGCGATAAAGACGGCGCTGCCTAATTATTGCACATTTTGCTGCCATGAATGGGCCGCGACCACTGGTTCAGAATCTTCTGGACCATGGGGTGTCCTTTGTCGGCAATATGATGATAATTCTTCTGCATGCCTAACAAGGCTTAATTGTGCTCGTGGCTCTTTGAACATATCAGGCCGAGAGCTCTCGTCGTGATCCTGTTCCTCATGTGCTTTATGCGTGGCTTTGCTGTTTGCCCACATTAGTTGGCCAACTCAAAGATGCACGCACTTCATTCCATCCAAGCATATATAGAATATAGCCTGGCAAGAAGCACCTGCGCCAGTATTGATCAGGAACGCCGATTCCTCGACCTCGACGTTGTCGAGGTGTTTGCTGGTGTCGGAGCTTCCTGCGAGCATCTAGAAGCTTTGCCATCTTTGCGGCTCCATGCAATCAAACCATATCATATCATAGTCTTGCATCGTGGTGAATCTGAGGCTATTTGCACAGAGGCCATCCACCGAGGATTCGATGCCCGTGGCCTCGACGTGGCATACAGTGCCACGAACGACATGGCAGAGCCCTGGGGATTTTTGCCATTTGGACGAGAACTTCGTGTAGTGAGTGCAATTTGTTCGCAGGTGTTGTGTTAATGCGTGGCTGCACAATCCGTTGCCTTACCCACTGTCATCATGCCCAAAATTAGAACCTATGATCCGAAGCATTGTGCCAAACCGTATTATAATATGCCCCGTCTACGGAGAAACCCTTCTTCCACCCCATCGGTCCTGTCTTTCCGCACTGCCTACATACGTCGTGGACTTCTCGATATCTAGTGTCCTCGGCTGAGGCTGGCACTTCTTTATCTACGAAGGCTTCGACCTGGTGGCCTGTTGACGCTGGCGTTGGTTTGGTGCTTCACTGCACTGCACATCATGCATGCATAGGTCGAATACGTATGCCGGTTATATATGATTAAATGTACATATAGGATGTGGGTTGATAATAGCTGATAGCCTTTCTTGCGCCCGGTCAATCAAGGCTTATTACTTTCGGGTTTGCGAACTTCGGGTTTTGGTCCATGGGGCCTCAGAACTATAAGGTCTATGTATGGTTTCGGATAATACGATTCAATGTACAAGGTTCACATGAGATTAACACCTGTGTCTTAATAAAGTTTAGGTCGTTGCATGGGGAGTTATTTATATAGGAGTTTGAAATCGTATCGGGTTTGGGATGTTAGACTCTAGGGCTTTCGGTTTGGGGTCTTAGGGTTTAGGCTTTGGGACTTGAGGGTTTATTTTTTTGGATGAAGTATCATAGGGTTTGAGGATTTCGGTTTGCGTAGGATTTGGCCTCTGGCTTGATGTTAATTGTTGACGTGTCTGTGTGGGAAGTTGAGGATTCGAGTTTGGGGATTATGGTATCGGGGATTATACGCCGAGAATTTCTGGCTTTGGGTGGTAGAATTTGGGCGGAACGATTTGTCGATGCGTCGATCATATATATCAATTTATGAATCTTCCATATTGGCTTTGGTCTTGGAGGTGTGTTAGTTAGCTTCTGTATATATAGAGGACTCTCCGTTAAATGATGTGGGACCATCTTGTTTGAATTCTGTCCTGACCCGACGCCTGGATCGATCTTATCTGAGTCTGCTGAAGGTTTGACCAAACTGTGTGGCAGGAACCATCCCCATTATTTCAGGATGCATATCTCTATATAGGTTTATTACGCGAACAGATCCCTGCGAAGTGGTGCTAAACGAAGTTAATCTGTTTTGGCAAGGTCGTATGCTGACCGGTTTGGAGGTAAAAGTCATATGCGTTGTCTCGTGGCCTTTTTGGTCACGTATAGTAACGAACCATCAGGAGGATGTAAATTCCCAGCTTGCATGCTACAATGCCCCATGCATATATGGCCGGGGGCTGCTGGTCCCATGAACTAATTCGATACCTTCTGCAGATCTACATGCATGGTATACCCAAAATCAGAACCTGTACTCTTATTCTGTGTCCGCAAGTAGAGCCCGAATCTTCAAAATGCACGGAAGTCATCACGTGCTAGCTTTCCCCACATCGCGAGGCGATTACATGACCTATATATTCGATCTCGATATAGAGACTCTGTATATAGGGCAGATAATTAGCTGACCTGAATATGACACATCCGCTGCATGTTGTTGCAGGGTGGGCCAATGTTTATAGTAGTAACTGAATATGGTTAGAATTAGAACATGCAACAATCTAGGAGTTGTTCATGCCAGGCAATGTGTCTAGCTTCATGTGGTTCTACAGGAGGAGTAAGTTCTCCAGGTGTAAACGGACTGTGATGCAACGGTGTGCCAAGAAATCACCGACAAGAGCAATGAATTTTCCCACGGAGGCCAACAACACGCAGTGCTTGCATGTGTGCACGGCTGCTGCAGGCCTGCCGAAGATCATGAACCGGCCAGGTCATGACAACTACGCGGTGCGGTGTGCATGCGCAATTATAATTAACTACAAAATGAGCAGTCGATCGACCTACACATATATGCATGTGCGACTTTTCATGCCAATCGTATCTCGCCTGCAAGCAGCGCCACAACATATACATCGCAATGTTGGCATCATATCTTCTCTTCGACAGACAATAACAAATGACTTGCCCCAGAAGATGCCACTAATGTCGTTGCAGAATCAGAATCTACTTGCAGTTCGCCACGGTCATTCTTGTCATTGCACAGTCTCCCCATCACGCATGGCATATGTAGTGCCGGCGCCTGGTCTTTCAATTTAGGGCCACGCGGCTGTTCTAGCACTTGGGAATATCTACCGGGACAATATACTACTTTGCTGTGCTCTGGACGATGTATGTACTTAGTGCTGCGCACCAGTAATTCGAAAATTTCTTTCACAGTCCTGAGCCCAAAACACGAAAGCCTATATGACGGAACTTTGAACCTTGAACCCTTACGAACTCTGTTCTAGATAATCCCTTGCCTTGCAAGCTTTTGTGTCGTACTTCTGAGGCTCATCCTTTACCTTTCTCAACATGTACACCTCCGGGCGAGATGCTCTTCTTCCCGAAGGTTTGCAGTGCCGCCCCACGGTCCGTTTGGGAAACTTATTGGCAAAGAGGAGACCTAGTTGAACAAATGATTCCTCCCTATGTAGTGGGTGTCATAAGCATAGATAGTTGCTTTATGTTCAACTCTAGAGTGCGGCGAGGAGCTTCCTGATTATGCGGTTGGCTCGGGCGATGAAAATTTTCACACTCCTCGAGCAGCCTGCGCACAACACGACGGGCGGAATGGAGAACCTTTCTCGTTTCAGAGACATGGTCGCTGTAAACCCGGTGCAATTCCCAGTCATTAAACTGTACGTATGCGATGCTGTAGGATGTTAGCTTTGACCGGGCAGTGAATATTGAAGCTAAGGTTGACAAGTTCCGCATCCACATGGCCAGCTTCGGTTCGTTCACACCGAAGCCCTCCTATCTCTACTCCCAGCATGCGTGCTTCCAGGACAGTGTATGCTGGATACCGCGGTATGTCAACGGGAAGTCTATATAGGGCTCTGTCTGCGGATCCTGATCTTGTCCATAATTAATGAAGGAGCTGCGAGACCTGTCCGAGAGCAGAGCTGCGACCACACACCCTGGGTGGAAGAGAGTGCGGAAGGAAGCGTGCGACGAATGAGCTTTAGCGGCAACCTGATGCAACGGTCCAAACCCGAAATTGTTTACTGGCTGCGTAGGCACTACTTGATACCGGTGGCATGGCCCTTAACAGAAATATGATGATTGCTCATTAGCAGAACAACTACCTCAATAAGTTTCACATACGCACACAGACACACACACACACACACTGTAGCAAAAATACATTTGTGCATGCATGGAAACTTATATATGGTATGTGCTGTATGTATTTAGATATATGCAATAATAGAAGCTCATGTTAGCAACAGCGGTCGTACACGATTCGGGAATGCGGGCATAAATGGCTGCAACCAATATTGTGCAATCTTATCGACAGGTCTCCACAGTGCCCGGTCACACATCATAACCGAACAATATGCATGGTATTAATACATTTATTATTGTGGTAGACATGGCCTATAGCTGTGAAATATTAGAATCGTAATTTACGACCACATCTCAGGAGAGCGGCAAATCCACGGTGACTGGCAAGCCGAAGGACGTGAAGGATACCCAGTGGCCTTGGCTGGTGTACAGTTCAAGTAATACCCTCAATAATGGTGTACGTTCCATATGGTTTGTTTCTGGGTAGGTCTGATCAACTGGATATCAGCTAGATGGCGGAGATCTCTCTTGCATGCAGCATCAGGGACACTTACCAATGCGAATTTTGCAGGAACGAACATACCAGATGTTGGCTTCGATAAAAATTGTATGAGACTGCAGTTCCACATCTCCAAAACCTGGCTCCGCACCTTTGATTTCTTCCCTATGCTATATAACGAGGCACTACCGTTCAATGCCGTATGGACCCTCAGCCTGTAAGACTTAATCCTAGGAAGTCCGGCAGAGTTCGATCATGCAGCCGCCTTCAACACGAGCTCAGCTGAAGTTCGAGCCGTGTACTTATATTAAAGTATACGGCTTTGTTCCCCAACACATCCTTGTGTACTCTTATGAAAGGTGTCAAGAAATCCAGACTCATCGGCATACAATGCCATAGTATGTCAGCCCGAACCCTTGATATCATAACCGTGCAAGAACTCTGGCCACGCAGCTTTCCAAGTATATCTCGGGCCCAGGCAATACACCCCACAGTTCGCCAACGATGTGCTCGATGCTTGGGCTTCGGCCCGCTGTTCCGACCCTGGGGTCAGCAATGTGTAGGGTCTGTAGGATTCAGTAATGAATGTAATGGTGATATGCGTAGCAGTTGGCAGTATATCTATATGTGTGCACGTACATATGTCAACGTACATGCATATGTATATGTCTTTGTCTTGGAACTATTAATATGTGTAGGACACTGTTGTTATATCGGAGACCGAAGAAATACAGTTTCAAGCGAGACTTAGGACTAGATACTTGTTCCATTCCGTCTCTGGGATTTAACCACGCGAAGCTGTTTGTCTCCACTCCTGCCTACGCTTCGGGATGTTATGGGTGCTTGTGTTTTGAGGGGTCATTCTTTTTCGAATGCAGGTGATTTACATGGGTTTCTATATAATACATAATCTTCGTACTAGATGGATTGCCTTTTGGCTTCTGCTCCAAGAAGCCTAGGCTTCAACCCTGAGCCCAAAAACATTGATATCCTCAAGATAAACATCATGTAAGCTTGAGCATCAACGAAACTCTGCGGTCCTTGCATTATCCTCTAATGTGTAGCCCTTGCAATTGCAACGACCCTCGCAGTAGTCTTGTAAACGTTGGAAACCCCACAGAGATTCGTATGGATATCGTAGAAGCACGTGGTGAAAAGGTTTAGCAGGATCTTCTAGCGAGACAATAAGTGGCACGACTCGCGCAACAGGGGCACTTGCAAAGGGCAGCCCGAGGTACTTGAACTTTCCTCGCGGGGCTCATGTAAGTATATGTGTGTGCATGTCGGCATGTATGTTTGTACACACATATAGATATACACATGTACTTGGAGGATCTTGGGACTTAGTAAGTATGGTTATAAGTACCCTAATTGGGGTTAAGTAGTTACAAGTATAGTTACCGTAATAGTAACCCTAGTTACTAAGTCCCATGATCCTCCAAGTATGCATCTGTGTCTGCATGTACGTATATATCCATGTAGCTGTTGATTGTTCAGGTGTCCAGTGCTTCGGAGTTCCGCGGGAGTTACTGCTGCGGTTTCGTTCCATTATGTCATGCAGCCCCGCAGAATGTCCTTGTATAACGATTCGTCTTACAACAAAGTATATGTCTCCATAGAGCAAAGCTAGTCATAACAAAAAAACGCGTCGCTTTCTCAGGCATCGTGCATCGGATGCCAATGAGTCGAGCACCTGGCCGAATGTCTTCGCGGCTTCGGATGAGGACTACGACCTCCAAGGACAGATCTCTGTCCTCTTTTCGGAGCCGATCGATTGGCAGGAGGATGTTTTCAGGCAGCATTTGACCCAAGGTAGGACGGAAATCCAATCCCTGGAACATATGTTGTTCCTGGGCACATCCACAAAAGTCAGCCCAGGCTTCGCTCTTGCAGATCGTGCACTTCATGCAAGCGAGCGGCGAGCTCCGGTTGCCCAAGGACTGGCCGAGTGACTTCGCTTAGGCCTTCTAAATGGCATCGCTTTCTTAGCTTCCTAGCCGAGCAGCCTGGGGAAAGGCATGGCTGAATTCACGATGTACACCCGACTTGGCAAAGCGCGCTGTGCAGCATCCGAACAACAACGCGGAGGCACCGCTACAATCATGCTACAACATCTGACTTGGAAAAGTGTGCAATGAAACATCGGAAGGACAACGTGAACACATCGTGTCGCATCCGAATGACATTGCTGACGAATCTTTGGGTGCCGGAACGACATCTCTATGGTAAAAACACACTTGTCGAAAACATGGGGAAAAGCTGTCGAATATGCGGGAATATGCGGGAGTTCTGTCCTTTCAACATGTAGGGCCCAAACCCCTAAAATATGTTGACGATCAGATCCGAATAGCATCGAACAAAAAAAATCATCATCAGATCATGCTACGTTGCTATCATTTCAATAAAAACACACTTGTCGAAAACATGGGGAAAAGCTGTCGAATATGCGGGAATATGCGGGAATTCTGTCCTTTCAACATGTAGAACCCAAACCGCTAAAAATATGTTGACGATCAGATCCGAATAGCATCGAACAAAAAAAAATCATCATCAGATCATGCTACGTTGCTATCATTTCAATAAAAACACACTTGTCGAAACAACATGGGGAAAAGCTGTCGAATATGCGGGAATATGCGGGAATTCTGTCCTTTCAACATGTAGAACCCCAAACCCTAAAAACATGTTCGAAGTCACATCGGATGTGCATCGGATCATGTCAGAGCTGTGCCCGACCACCATCTGATGGATTGTTGTCCCTGGCGGTGCAGTTACCCAGCAGCAGCAGCAGAGCCTTGCGCTAAGCAGTGGACAGCAGCAAGCAGCAGCTCCGCCGTGTGTTGTGCCACACCATATGGCAGCAGCTCCGTTGGCAGGTCCACAGACCTTGCCTCAGACGGTTGCAGTTCCAGAGAACCCTTTGCCAAACACCGGGGCACAGCAGGTGGCAACAGCCTCGCAGAACCTTGTGCCAAGTGGACCGTCACAGCTGCAACGGCTTCCCCCGATGGTAGTGCATGCCAATCCGGCTCCGGTCACACTTCATGTGGCACCGACAAGGAGGGACTCCATGGTGAGCGAGACCACTGCCGCGGGCGATGATGGTGTTTCGGTCGCAGATTTAATTGCGGAGATGGAGACACAGCTTGCCCCAGAAGGCCAGACCGCACCCGTGCCTGCTGGTTTGCAGCACGGTGCCTCTATGTTGACTGCGGCTGCTTCCTTCGACGACCTTTCCAAAGTTGCTCGAATCGCCCAGGCCCATGCCCAGGGTGGTATATTTTCCTGTCTTGAGATAGAGCCATAAGTATCTTGGACCACATACTTATATATGTGTAGATATCTATACAGGTATTTTCTTATCGTATGTAAAAACCCAATCCGAATTAATAGTGAGTGTTAGCCGCGTGGCAGGACTTGGTTCCCTCGGACACATCGGCGGCGTTGCAGGCGAAGGCCCCCCAGATCAAGCCGGGTCCAGTGACACCGAAGGCCAAAAGTGCATCAAAACCTCAGAAGACCCGGGCGCCTCCTGCTGCGAAGGACATACACCGTTTAATTTGCCGGGTGATTCGTGATATGTATGCATTGTTTGTATGTATGTATGTATGTTTGTATGTATGTATGAATGCATATATATATTTATATATATATATATATATTGATATGCATATAGAGGGCATTGTGGTTTTAACTGCATTGGGGTAATAAAGCTATCTTTAGTGTGGCCCCTATATGCAGGACGAATACGCATGTATGGCAGTTTCTGGAAGCGGTTCAGATCGAATTCGTCGCTGGGGTCGAGTGTGGACGAAGAGTCGGTTCAGTCGCCTACGACAGCTGAGATCGTGGAACCCAGCCCTGCTTCTACCCAGTCGGCCGCTCCGGCACTTACGACTGCTGCTGTGAAGGCCCCAGCAGTGGTGGCCAAGGTTGCTGCTCCGACACCTACGACTGCTTCTGTCGTGGCCCCAACAGAGGTGGCCAACTTTGTTGCTCCGACACCTACGACTGCTACTGTCGTGACCCCAATGGTGGCCAACGTTGTTGCTCCGACACCTACGACTGCTGCTGTCGTGACCGCAGCGGTGGCCAACGTTGTTGCTCCGACACCTACGACTGCTGCTGTTGTGGCCCCAGCAGAGGTGGCCAACGTTGTCGCTGCAACACCTACGACTGCTGTCGTGACCCCGGAGGTCGCCAACGTTGTTGCTCCGACACCTACGACTGCTGCTGTTGTGGCCCCAGCAGAGGTGGCCAACGTTGTGGCTCCAACACCTGCGACTGCTGCTGTCGTGACCCCGGAGGTGGCCAACGTTGGTGCTGCTGTGGCGAAGGGGCCACCAAGTGTACCGCCGAAAATGGAACTCCCGGCTGTTCCGACCAGGGCGGCAACAGAGCATCCGGGACAGCCCTCAACGACTACAGCAGGTGCTGCTCCCATGACGAATGAAGCCTTGACAATGCTGGCTGCATTGCTCAGCCAATCGATGGGCCAGCTGTCTGTTGCTGGTGCTGACTCATCAAACCTTGGAAGCATCCAAGAATCCTTGAAGGCGATTGTTGCGAAAGCAACCGGAGGAGCGGCTGCGCAGCCGCTCCAACAGCAGCAGCAGCTGGCTGCTGCCCCTGTTCCTGTTGTTTCTGCGCCGTCGAAGCAGCCTGCTGTTGTGGATAATTATCGACAGTGCGAGTGGCCTTGACTTGCAGCCGTCGCCATCGAGTCCGAGCCCCGCAACTGCACCTGCAACGCCGAGCCCGTCGATTAATCCGCCTGGAACCCCGAGCGCTCCGCCTCCTTGCACCACTCTCGCTCTCGCGAGGCCAGGGCCCACCGCTATCATCAATTCGGGAACCCACAAGACCGAGTACAAGACGTTCCAGCGGTTTTGTCAAAACTCGCCGGGAGCAGAGGAGTTGAAGAAGGTTTGGGTGCAGGGTGGACCGCAGCGTTTGGCGATGTTCCAGAAGTTTGTGTTGACAGGCTGCGAGAGTCTTCGGCCCGCTGGATAGCGGGGGCCTGGGACCTGGGGTTGCCCTCTTCGTGTCGCGCTCTGGCTGTGGGGTGCGATACGGGAGCGCGTCATGGCTCAGAGCTCCAACTTTGATTTTCGACATGCGCGGAAGCCACTCCACAGGATAAGCTGCTTCCTTGGGAATCAGGTGTATTCAAGCAGTTCTTTGAGAGTGAAGACCGGTTATCGTGGAGGGACAGGTTCGACTTGCCAGACCCACCGGAGTGGGATCGAGGCGAGGCGGAGAGCTTGTTTCCGGCTGAGAAGAAGCGCAAGGTCTTAGATGCTGATTTTGCTCCTGGCATTTGCTTTACGGTCGTTCGTAAAACAGAGGGGTTGAGCTGGGAAGATCAAAGGCAGCAGGACTCTGATAAGGCGATTGCACGATGGATCTTTATCATTGTGAAGTGGTCTGAGACCTGCCCCGACTTGTTGGTGTGTCAGAGTTTGGCTGAATGCACCGAAACGGAGCAAAGGAACAACGTGATTCAAGACTGGCTGCATCCCAAGGCGCCGAGTACCTTGCTGAAGCGTGCTCATTCAATTATGAGCTACCACAAGGTTTTTGGCTGGGGCGCAGGAACCCTTCCTCACAGTGAGCGAGATGTGTATCGTTACATGTCGGATGCAAAGGCGGGTGGGGCAAAACCGTCCCAGCTAAAGGCTCTGCGTGAGGCTATAATCTTTGTGCGCCATGTGTTTATGGTCCCACAACTGGACGGCGTGATTGAGAGCCGGCGCTGTTTGGGGGCTTCGCAAAGGGGGACTGTGAAACGACGCAAAAAGCGAGCTCGTCCGCTGTCTATTCTTGAATTGAAGAAGCTTCACCATCTGCTTGCGAACGAGGAGGTTCCAGCCTGGGACCGAGCTTTCGCAGGTGCAGTTCTTTGCTGCACTTACATGAGGGCGAGATGGGGCGATTTCCAGCATGCTGTCAGTTTTGATATCGAGACAAATGACAAGGGTGACATCGTCTTCTTGGTGTATACTGTTGAAGTGTACAAGACAGTGAACGCCAAGTACTTTTCCGGCGAGCCTGTCAGGTTCATCGCTCCAGGAATCGGGATGCTCGGCGAGAACTGGCTGCACTTATGGAAGAAGGCAAGAGCCGAGGTGGGATTGTACTCCTTCCTGCCGCCTTTGCCGACGCCAAACGCAGCTGGTGAGGCCATGGGATGTTCGGTCTCCTCTAGCGAAATCACAGCCTGGATTCAGAAGGTATTGGCGCGTGACCCAAGTTTGAGTACCACAGGACACCTCATGAAACGCACCTTCTTGACGATGGCGGCAAAGCGAGGCATCGAGCATCTGGATCGATTGGCAATGGGCGGCCATGCTCATTCGGCAAAAATGGCCGATACTTATGGTGATGATGAGCTGGCGCGACCATTGAGACTGCTTCTGGCTTTGTTGGAGGGGTCTTCGACCCAGATGCTGGACGGGCCGGTTACATTCAAGGTGCGGGCCTACGTGAGCGCAGGTTGGATGCGGATCGGAAGGTGCACCTCCAGTTGGAGGCTTGCCCGGCGCCAGTGGCTGGGGTGGCCTTTGGGAGCGGTCAGGCAATAGCCGGGACAGTCTGACCGAGCAAGACGCAGCATCATGGGAACCACCGCTGCCTGAACCGTTCGACGACAACGATTGGAACGAGTTGGGCATCCAGGCCCCAACTTCTCCTCACAGTGAGGCTTGCGGTGAGTTGGGTGCATCTACGGCGGGGACCTTCAGGCTCACCCGTGGGATAACCTGCTCGGGGACAGTCGTAGTGATGTGGAGACGGCCTTTTCCAGTTCAAGCTGTTCCGAGAGTTCGTCCTCTTCATCTTCGAGGGTGAGTCATGAGCCTGAACGTAAAGTCGGGGTACCTAAACCTGTGGCGGGCACATCTTTCCTTCAGCACAAGCGGACAATGCTTTTGCACATGATTTCCGATCAGAATCGGAAAGTTTTGCTGTGCGGCCGAATGGTTGGCGACATTTACAAAGCGCCAATGAAAATTCGTTTTGATTCTTCCGTTTGCCGGAACTGTAAGAAGTTCGCGGCGGATTTGTGAAACGTGCCTCTCAGAAAGACTCAACTACACCTCGTCTGCTCATGCTTGCACGTGTTCGTGCTGCTGTCATGGACGTCTCTCCGCCTGAGTGTGTCTTGGGGCTCAACAGCAGGGGCATCATGTCGCTCGTGGATTCGGAGGCTGCTTTTTCCCAACGATGTCAGGAGGTCAATGCTGGGGCCATCCATACGGCCTCGCGTGACAATGGTGTGACGACATTTGCCAGCTTAGCCTATGCACGTGGAACCCCGCAGGATCGACCATCGCAGGCCGAACTGGATGCATTTTGCGTTCGGATCCTTGGTGCTGCACCGAGGTTGGGCGATGTCTCGCTGCTGAAGCGACTTATCTTCGAATCTTGTACATTTGTGATTGCACAGTTGCGCCAGAATGTTCAGGGCGATGCTTCCGAGACACCTCGAAAATTGCCTTTGGCTGAGAAAGCAGCCCGAGCCGCCGATCAGAAGCTCCGACTGGCGGGAGCATATCGAGAGGGACTCAGTTCCCTCTTATGCGTTGGTGGACTTGTGCTTCCATATGATCGAGGTCGGGGTGACCTGGATTAGTCCGGGCCGCTGTACGAGCCGTGAAAGTGAGATCCAACTTTCGACGAGAGATCAAACTAAGGTCTTTAAATTGGAGGACAACAGTTTGAAAGTCGGGAATGAGGGACCTGATGATGTTGCCTGCTTCGACTCACCCATTCGCCTGCAGTGGTGTCTTCAACGGAGAGGCCTTGCCTTAGATCAAGCTCGACTCATGTCCTGGCAGCAACACGAGAGATGGGTACATTGCCTCCTCCATGCACGCACACGTGAGTGCCCTTCAGGGTTCCACAAGCCGGATATGAACCGGATTGTACAAGCTGACAGGGAGGCATGGGTCATTCTTGCGTCAGAGGTCCCGAGCATCAAGGTCACCGCTGCCGGGGAATTCCCGCTGGGTCTTGCACTCGAGGCTCTGCGGACTGACCCGAGGATCACCATGTATCTCATGCCTACTTGGGGCCGGCAGCCAGTCCAGGTGCCTCTTGATGTCCCAAAGGTGTCAGGGCAATGCCTGCTGAGCTTAAAGGCGCACACCAGCGCACTGAGGATGGACATCTCATGTGCTGGGATCACAATTGCGGCCGGGGGCTGTAAGCTCAAGACCGAGGGCGATCCTCCCAAGTGCCAACACGGAGTGCATTGTCGGCGAGTTGGCCATTCCTTTCGCAACTGCCGTGCTCGCAACTGGAAGGGTGCTGGCAAGGGCAAGACCAAGGAGTGACTCTCAGACACTCGCCCAGGCCTCGTTGAAGCCGGCAGGATCACCGGCCACGCCACCGATGACCTGGGCTATACTTTTTCTCCTGTGCATGTGGAGGCGCAGGGCCGTTCTGACGTTGAGGAGCTGGCCGCTGCGTGCCTGCGCTGTGGATTTGTGAGTTTTGGGCAGCTTGCCGAGCTCAGTGCTTGCTTGCCTGCGGATTCAGTGGGAGCGACTTCAGGCCAACCTGTTATTAGTTACTTCTGCTGATCCGAAATCTTTTACTTCCGGGGCTTACGTGCGCCACGACAAAACTGGGCTTCGATCCAATTGCTGTTCATTTCCTTTTGCGACACAATTGCTTGCCCGCGTGTTGTACTTGTGGACTTGTCCACTGATGTTTTGCAAATGGAAAAACGGTTTCCTTTCTTTTGGTAAAACTGGAAAGTTTTCCTTTATTCGCTTTTGCCAGTGCCTGCATCTTCTTGCCTCAGTACATGTCGTGGAAGCTCTGTGCATCCGCACTCCGCTTTGGATCAAGTTGCAGCGAAGTCGCTTCGCAATTTTGATTTCGGGCCTCTCTAGAGTCCTGTAGTGCTGTCTAGCAGGCTCCGGGGGCTAACTCCAAGGCTTCTAGCTCCTCGCCCTTTACAAGGGGGGGTGCATGGCAGGCACCTCTTGCCTCTCTTGAGTGAGCTGTCATTCTTGTATGGTGTCCCGTGCTGAGCTTGAAGAGTTCCGTCAGTACTTTGAGTGCTCGCTGCTCAGCTTGGTTCGTGGTGCTTCTGTGGAAGTGTTAAAGAACGGGCTTCACTAAGCTTTCCTATTCACTCACAAAGGCGGACACTTTTTCCTGGACTGCGGAGTGTGTCCTGGTAGTCTCGAGCCTGCACGTCGCGTGTGCGTGACGGCTGTTCCTTTACATTAACTACACTGCACTAGCGGTGTTACTGTTCCTGGCAAGATGTTTAACACCCCGCCTTCGGAGTTAGCGAAAGTTCCTCGACTGAGGTGACTCCGACTTTCCTGAACAGACAGTAAACACGCTGCAGTTCCTTTTCACTACAAAACAAACACTGTTCCTCTTCGCAGACGTAAAGCAACGTTCACTCGCAATCCTCTCCAAGGTTGCTCGACTGTACAAAAGTTCCTGAAACTTACTTAGATCACCACAGAAACAAAAAGGGCTGTGCCACGGTTCCTGTGTCCTGCTTCACTGCTCTTTCCTCGGCTCTCTGGCCTCAGCACGGCTCGCTGTTCCTTTGGCTTCACTGGAAGTTCACGGGCTTGTCGTCTTCGTCCTCGCTGTCGTGGGTGACTTCCGACTGTTCCTTGAGTTGGTCCTTTAGCCACTCTTCTCGCTGCTTTGCCTGTGCCCTGCACTTCTCTTTTCCTTGCTTGTCTTTTGATCCTGCTTTCCATCCAGTTTCCTTGGATCCTGAGTACCAGTACCATGTCGCCTTCTCCTCGTTCCACTTCCACTGGTAGTTCCTGCCTTGGAAACCGTAGACTGCAAACCAGTTTCCTTCAAACTCTCCTTTTCCTTTTCCTTTCAAGAACGATGCTTCGTTCACTGGTCCTTTGGCTGAAAGTTCCTTGTCGTGTGTTCCTTCCTTCTGCTTCTGCTGCTTCTGCGTGACGCTTGGTGGCTCCTGTCCTTTTCCTTTTCCTTTGTCCTCTGGCTTTTCCTGCTCCTTTGTTGGTGTTGTGTCTGGCTCTGTGGGTGCCTGCGACCCGGCTGCTGATCCTCTACTCTCAAGCTCCTGTGTGAGGCTTGCAATCCTTTCCTTATCTTCCTTGCGTTCCTTCATCATCTCCTCCATCATCTGTTCCAGCTTCTTCATCCTGTCTTCTTCACGTCTCGGTTCCACTTCTCCTGATCCTGACGCTGTTCCTTCTGCTGCTGCCTTCTTTTCTGCTTCCTTTCGGGCAATGTATGCCGATGCTTCCTTCTTGTCTTCCTCTCTTTTCTTCTTTGCTTCCTTCTCCTTTCTCTTTCTTTCCTGTTCCTTCTTCTCCTTCTCCTCTTTTGCTGCTGCGGCTGCTGCTTCCTTCTCTTCCTGCTCTTCCTTTTCTTTGGCTTCTGCTGCGGCTGTCTCCTCCTTTTCCTTTGCTTCTCTCTCTGCCTTTGCTTTGGCTGCTGTTTCAACTTCTTTCCTTCTCTCTGCGGCTGCGGCTGCTTCTCTCCTGAACTCTTCCTTGTCTCGCTTCTCTTGCTCGTCTGCTGCCTCTTCTAAGATCCTTCTTGCTTTGGCGATCTTCTCTTCCTGCTCCTTCTTTTCCTGTTCTGCTTTGGCTTTTGCTTGCTGTTGTTCCTTTGAGATCCTGTCTTGTTCTGCCCAGTACTTGCGATCTTCCTCGTCTCGCGGTTCGAATCCCGCGGCTGCTGCTCTCTGCTGCGGCTCTGCTCTTCCTCTGCCTTCTTTCTTTCCTTTTCCTTTGTCTTTTCCTTGTCCTCCTTTCTCGTGCTTGTACGCGTAGTCCTTGCAGATCCACTGCTTTTCTCCTGTAACTCTGTGTTCGCGGTAGATCTCGCCGTTCTCGGTGTACTCCTTCCACTCACTGCTGTAGTCGTAAGGGTACGGAAAGAGTTCCTTTTCCTTCTCCTTCTCTTTGAGCCTTTCCTTGCTCTTGGCGTTGATTTCCTTGATCTTTTGCTTCCTTCTTTCCTCCTTTGCTTCTTCATCCTCTTGTTCCTGTGGCTCCTCTGCTGTGGCTTCTTCCGCTGTGGCTTCTTCTCCTCCAACGTAGCTTTGCACGTAGACTTCGTTCTCGTCGTAGTTGTAGTCCATGTAGTCCTGCTCTCGTTCCTGGAGGCGTTCAAAGTACTCTCTGTCAGACCACTCTCTTATGTCCTTCTGTTCCTTTGCTTGCGTGGAGGTAGGTGACGTAGGTCGCGTTGTAGTTCCCAAACCATGTCCTGTGCGTCGAAGTTCTCCTTCTTCTTCACGGTCCTTTGCTTCTCTGTTCCTTTGGTCTTCTTCTTGTTCCTCTGTAACCAGGTGGTACTCGTTCATCAGTTCCTGCACTTGGTCCTTGAGCTTGTCACACGTCTTGAAGACGTGCGCCAGGTGTTCCTTTGACTCTGTCCTGTCTCTGTCGTTCTGCTCGGCCATTTCCTGAACCTGAAACTTGACGTCCTGGATTTGTCCTGTCAAGGACTTCACGCAACCAGCCACATGTTCCTGGGATCGACGCAAACGCGTCGCTTCCTCTGTGTTCTTCCTGATCGACTCCGCGATCTCGTTCCTTTCCGCACTTGCTTTCCT